CCCCCAGGATGCACAAGCACATCCAACAAACACGAAAACAGGGTATACCCTCCCCGGACCGACCTCGATCCTATAATTAGGTCCGACCGTACAGAGACGCACGCGCGCGCACCTGTTGCGGGGGATCAGATGTACACCGAGAAACTCCGCGACCTCCTCGCGTCGCGAACGAATCACGACGGAGGGCTCTTGGCCATTCTGTGCCCCTGGGAAGCCCTCGCCAGGCCCTTGGGCCGCCAGGACGAGTCAAGATGAAACACTGGTCTCCAAGAAAATGTCCAGACTTCCGACGTCATGATTTGTGGTCATGCCGTGGCTCTCCAGAAAGCTGGACCCCTTTCTGTAGACCGGCTTTCCATCTGGAGTCGTTTTTTGAGACCCGTCAGCGACCCTGGGGGCCGAAGAATGGCAGAACCAGTGAGAAAACACCCGTCGTGTTTTTCTCACGATGCGGGGAGGTCAGGACCTCGATCCGTCTCGATCCTCCTCCTCCTCAACCTCCTCTTCCTCCTCGTTCTCCACCCAGGCGCCCAAGGGCAGTGGTGGTCAAACCGGAGCACGCAGTTGTTGCAGTAGGCGCAGTGCTTGGAGCGCGGGGGGCGGTAGATCTCGCACGTGCTGCACCACCGCAGCGAGACCTCCGGAGGGCGAGGATCGGGGTTTTGCACACGACGACGGCGACGACGACGACGACGACTCCACGACGACGGACTCCACGAGGACGAGGACGAGGACGAGGACGCCAAGCGACGACGACGACGAAGACTCCACGACGACGGACTCCACGAGGACGAGGACGAGGACGACGACGCCAAGCGACGACGACGACGACGACGACGACGACGCAGACGACGACGAGGACGACGACGGGCGACGGCGGACGACGGCCGCGCCGGCGCGGCCCCCAGGGCGCCTGACCTCCTCGCGCCGTGAACCAAATGCGGCGAACACTGTTGGCCACTTTTCTGCCTCCGCGCCTTCTGGGGAGCCACGCTCGGAGAGCCTCAGGGGGACGGGTCGGGGGATCCTGTTTTTCCTCTTCGTTTCCTCAAACATCCTTGGTCCTCATACCTCCCCGTCGTCTGACCACCAGACGTGTCGGCCTGGCCTTTCGCCTGAGACTTTCTCAAAACGACTCGATATGTTAGGCTCCAACAGTTCAGGTGCAAGGATGGAGGGCGGCTTGTGTTCGAATCGGGGTTATGGCTTCACCACCGCGCGCAATCATACTAAAACCTTGTATGGAAGTAGGGCCGTTTTCAAAATGAAACTCTCGCTTTCGCGCTACGCACATCCTGCGTCTTTCCAAAGTGCAACCCTTACATGAGTGTGGTTAGTTCCTGTGCGAAATGGAGAGACTCTCGCTTTCGCAATGCACGCGCTCTTCTAACACATGCAACTGTTAATACACATGGTGGCCGCTCCCTTTTTTCGAAGCGGGGCTCTCCCCTTTTAGCGCGACGCGCATTCGTCGTAACATGATGAAACTGCCACTCGGACGAAAAACTGCTCAACTTGCAAAATGAAATTTCCACTTGAGACCCCCCCAACAAGGCAAACATACATTGAACCGATGTAACGGGGTAACAAGACAAAATGTAAACAGAAAGTTCCTACGCTCCGCGAGGATGTCTGGAATCTGAGATGGACCTCCCTTTTCTGGCGGACGGAACGCGCTTGGGTCGGCGCCGGAGGCGCTGCCAGGGGCACCAGGGCGGGCCCTGCGCGGACCCAAGAAACCCACACGGAGTTCCAAAAATTCACGTTTGATGTTTTGTCTGGTTCTTCGATGTGACAGCTGCACGGATGGAGGGCGGATCCTTGCCAAAGCTCGATTATTGCTTAGGGCTGCTGCCATGCAGGCCCTCGTCCCTGGGTGCCCTGAAGAAGCCGTCGATCTTCATCGGGGTTCCTGCCCTTCCTCTCTTGACTGGCGGAGGCAGGGGGCGGTGTTGCATATACGCTGCAATTGCGATGATTGCGATGAGGACGACTGAATGAACGAATGGATGGGTAAATGTAGTGTAGATGACGACGACGGCGAGTATGATGATGGTGCTGGTTCTTGAGCAACCCCACTGCAAATTGGTTGGGTTGTACGCGCCAAGCTGCAGGCCGGTATAACGGATCCGAAGTCACTCATCCCTTGTCCCTGCTAAAACCATTCGCGGCCGCCGAACAGCTCAGAAATGTCAGCTGGATGTTAACTTGATCATGGACCACATCGGGCGGATGCCGAGGATACTGCCATTCGCCAAGGTACAATTCCGAGCGGGCGTCCGCATCAACTCCGCATGGGATAGGAGGCCACGACCCAGAACAACTGGAACAACATAATCGCGGACATTACCGGATGCAGCACTCTGTACAGCGCGAGCTTGTCCGCATTGAATAAAGCATGAACGAGAACAGCATGTTGCACAGCATCGGGAACAGCACGGGCGGGCCCATCGTGCACAGCATCTGGTACAGCACGGACGTCCTCGCGCACATCGAACGGGTAAATCGCGAACGGCGTCGTGTACACCGCGACTCGCGGTGTACTCGACGCGGTACCTCGCGGCGAGGTACCGCGTCGAGTACAACAGTGGGTATTGCGCGAACTGGTACAGCATCACGAACACCACTAACTGGTACAGCACCGAGTAGGGCAGCGGGAACGACACCATGTGCAACACCTGGTACAGCACGGACTGGCACATCAACATCGTGGACCTCGCGGGCTGGTGCACCGCGACTGGCATCGTGTGCAAGCATCGTTCGTAGCATCGGTTGCACCATCAGGTACACCACACATCGGTACGTCAGCATCGTGTACATAATCTGGTACATCACTAAGGAATGCCGCGTCGTGTACAGCATCGGGCAAAACGCGAGAGGTACAGCACCGCAGAGGGCACGAAGTGGTACAGAATCGCACACGGCATCGCGTACAGTATCATGTACATCACCTGGTAAAACGCGAGTCATACATCAGCATTTTGTACAGCATCTCGTACAGCACGGACTACTCCCTCGCAAACACCATCGCGCGCATCATCATGTACAGCGCGAGCTTGAAAACCAGCCTCGCATGGATACACTTCGTACAACGCAGGCCCGCGCAGCATCGCGAGCGGGCCCGACCTTGCAAAGCTACGGCATCGTGTGCAGCGCGAACTGGTACGTCGTGACCAACAACTTGCGCCGCACGCAGTTGCACTTCGCGGGCAACACGGTGCACAACATCAACTACAGCATCGCGCATGGCGCGGGCATGTGCATCTTCGTGAACAGCATCAGGCGTGCGAAAATTTAACCAAGCTCGGAGACTCGAGGTGTGGTAGCGCACGAAGGTGCTGCTCTCATCTCCAGATGTTGACGTGTGGGCTCCGCGACCTTGGTGTGATTTGCGAAATCTTCGCGAACGCCCAGCTTGATGCACTTCCCAAAATCTTCGTCAAACCTGTTTGTCGTCAAATTTCTTCCCGGCAGTCACCGCGAACACGTCGAAACACTTCTTGACGAGGTTCTTCTTGATCGCGCGAAGGATCTGTGCTGCAGCGTCTCACGGGGGCTGTTCAGCGGCAAATCCCCAGTTCCAACCACGCACTTCTCCAAGTTGACCCACTCGGACACCAGCTCGCCGCGGCCGACCACGATGAAGACGCGTCGCACGCACAGCTTGATGATGCAGCGTGTCTTTCTGGCCCCGGAAAGGTCAGGAGATGCCCGGCGCGGCACGAAGAGCAGCGCGCAGAACTCCAGTTGGCCAGCCGCGCTGAAGTGCTTCACGGCCAGGTTGTCCTTCCCGCCGTTGGACATGGATTTGTGGAACGAGGCGCACTCCTCGTTGATCACGTCCTCGGACTTGCGCATCCCAAGCGGCTGACATCACTACTTCCATCCATCAGTACAGCTTCCACCTGACGAAAGCGGCCAAGTCATCGAGCCTCGTCCTCGGGGCTGAAACATCATGATTCTTACTGTTGGCCTGCCTGGGATGTCCCACCCGCCCGAGCAGGTAGAACGGACGCCGGGCTGCTGGACGGATCTCAGCGAAACGGCAGCGCTATGATGGTGATGGTGATGACGGTGATGAAGATGATGGTGATGGTGATGGTGATGGTGGTGGTGATGGTGATGATGGTGATGATGGTGATGATGATGATGATGATGATGATGATGATGATGATGATGATGATGATGATGATGATGATGATGGTGGTGGTGGTGGTGGTGGTGGTGATGGCGATGTTGATGCCATTGTCACCGTTCAAGTGCGGACGCCTTGGCACCCATAGGCAGTTGGAAGTCCCATCCACCCTTTAGGGCGCGAGTGGTTTAGGGGGGTTCCTTTTCCACCCTCCCTTCTGCCCTTTACTCCCCCCTCTACCCCATCCCGTGGACCTGGACGGGACGCCCTGCGGCGAGCCATTGCGTCCAATGCGGCCTCTGCGAGGAGGCACAAATCATTGGCTTGACTTAGGTTTCGGGCCCACTTTGGCCTCTCAAGGAAAGGGGTGGGGGCTGATTGAGTCCCCACCTTTTTTTGGTCGATGTCACCCAAGATGGTCCCAGGATGACCCCCGAGGCTCCAGATGAGTGCCCCGAGGGGGCCCCAAGAGGCGCCCAGGAGCCTCCAAAATGCCCCGAAAAGGTTTCGAAGAGGCCCCCAAAAGACCCCCAAGAGGCTCCCCATAGGTACCCAATACGCTACAAGAGGCCCCCAAGCCCAAGACACCCCAAGAGGACTCCAAACATTCAACCCCTCATTCCACTGCATGCTCACCACATCCCTGACCAGGGCAACTCGCCTAGGCATCGTTTCTGGATGGACTGGTATGTTTGCGCGAAACGCCTAGCATTTTCAGCAGCCCTATCTGGCAATCTCTGGCGGTATTAGGCCATCTTCTGCTCACAGGGCAAGGCGGATGGCTGCCTTTGCTCAGACGATGAAGGCCCATGATCGAACACGTAACTTGTGTACCATGGCTATGCGATAGTCGAGGAGCCTTGGAGGGGATGCCCAGAGAAAAGGCAGAGCCCCTAAATCGGGGACCTTGGTCAACTGCGAGAGAAAATTGCAGCCGTGGGTCGAACCGGTCCCCTCTCTTCGTTTTCTCGAGCTCAAGATGATGCACAATCCTGGTTTCAAGGGTCCTGGTTCCCACGGCCCTGCGAAGGGGGATGCTCTCGTTCCGGGTGCGCAAAAGAGAGGGCCAGGAAGGGGGTTAGCCCATCGTAGCCCGAGGCATGAACGCGGACGAAAGGGGGCCCAAGGGGAAACGTGTTGAAAGAAGAAGGGGCGGCCATGGGATCGAGCTCGTGGCCCTGGCCATGCTGTCCACGCCCCCGGAGCCCTCGCCCACCTCTCCAACGCCCCAAGTCGTTGCCTGGGCGTCATTTTTCGCCGCCGCTGCGCAATCCGGAGAGCAGTCGGGAGAGCGCCGACGGAGACTCCTCCCTCAGCTCGCCGAAGGCCAGGGGCGCGAAGCGTGTTCTCTGCCACCGCGTGCCTGGAATCGGCTCTGGTTCGCTGAAGCCGCCGGTGACCACGAAGAATCTGTCGCGGAAGCTCTGCACGACCCTCCAGTCCGAGTACTTCCGGTCCATTGCAGCGAAGAAAGCTTGAGCGTCGTCGCGGGTCATGACTACATCACCGGTGGCGATGGTCGGGAAAGCCTCACAAAAAGCATCCCGCACGATCTCGTCCGTCACGACATCGTGGAAGCAGAATGCCTCAACATACTCCGTGCCCTCGAAGACTGCAGGGACGTCTCGTGCAGCAGCAACCCTTCTCTGTCGACCCAGCTGCTCCATCCTCTGGCGTGCCCAGTCCATGGAGCTCCCCGTGAGCGAAGAAAAGGCCATCGAAGAACACATCGCAGTGCCCCACAAAGTGGCCACACCGACCGACGCGGCAACCGCCGGTGCTGCGACGATGGTGGCGGTGGCGGCAGCCGCCGTTGCTGCGACACCAGTCGCGATGTCGGTGGCAACGGTGGCGTAGACGGCACTCTCGAGTGCGTAGGAGGCCCCTGCCTTCGACAGCTCCCACGAGGTCTGACCGACCTGACTGAAGGCGTTGCTGCCGTCGCTTATGACCGCGTAGAACGTGTAGGCGGCCATGGTCGGCGCGAAAGCGAGCTCGGCCCCGGGGAGCAGATGATTCCCCGAGACCGCGAACAGCGGGGCGGTGAGCGGGAAGGCCAGCAGGTTCAGCGGTAGCGTGGAGCTGTTGAGGATGTGGAAGCTGGGAATGTGTCTTCCCTCCTGCCCGATATACGCAAGAGTGGAGCCAGGCAAGATGAAGGGGCCCTCGGACACACAAATTCGCCGGCCCAACGGGCCAGGGCGTGCTAAGATCTCCGGTACCTGGTTAACAGTATTTCTAGTTCGCGCGCGCGGGGCGGCCCCTGGGGGTCCCCAGACGAAAAGTACCCCGGCAAGGTCCCGGCAAGGTCGGGCCAGAGATGCCGGAGCCCTGTTACAGGGCCCCAGGACGGGCCAAGAGGTCCCCAAGAAGCCTCCAAGACGGTCCAAGAGGGCCCCGAGACGGCCAAAGATCGCCCGAAGACGCCCAACAGGGCCCCAAGACAGCCCAAGAGGCCTCCAAGACGCCCTAAGGGCCTTCCAAGAGGCCTTCGAAGAGGGCCCCAAGAGGCCAAAATCGTTGATTTTCATTGTTTTTTTCTATGTTTTTTGCGTTCTGGCTTTTTCGGCTTCCGGACGCTCCAAGACGGCCCAAGAGGCCCCCAAGACCGCTCCAAGACGGCCCACGAGGCTCCCAAGACGGCCCCGGAACGGCCCAGGAGGGCCCCCAAGACGGCCCAAGTGCCGCCCAAGACGGACCAAGAGGCCCCAAGACGGGCCCAAGAGGGGCTCAAGAGGGGAACCGAGAACTGACAAATCGAGCCCTCCGCCCCAGAAGGCGCCCAGGAGGCCCCAAAAAGGCTCCAAGAGGCCCCCAAGAGGCCCCCAAGACGCCCCAAGAGGCGCCCAAGAGGCCCAAAAGAGGTCCCAAGAGGCCCCAAAACGGCCCCCAAGAGGCCCCCAAACTCGGCTAACCCACAACGGTGCGACAATATGGGCCGGCGGAATGAGCGAAGCGATTAATATAAATACACACACAAATAACGGGATTCCCCATATGTCCCCATATTTTCTGAATTTCTGTCTTCCACCCATATTTTTTGATTTTCCTTGGAATCGAACTAATGGTGCCTGTGTTTTTTCCCCTCCTGACAAGAGTGATCTCTGGTGCGCGACGTTCGGGAGCGCGGGGGGGGGGGGGGGGGGGGGGGGGGGGGGGGGGGGGGGGGGCAAAACCCGAGCGCGGAAGCCGCTGCTGTCGCTGTCGACGACGAGGCCCAGACGGCGACTACCCCCAGAGCAGAACCATCGAAACCGGAGAAACCCAGGGCAGCCTGGAGGCAAGCAGGGTGTTCCATGGCATAAGCTCCACTGCACGCATCAAACATCGTATGGAATGCCAATGCCGCCAAAGGGCCCGCGTCCATACTAGAGGTCTCCCGGGTGAGGTCCGAGTTGACGGGCTCGGAGGATCCCGCCGCAGCACCGATGCATCGGCGACATCGGTGATGCATCGGCACAGTCGGCGTGGAGAGAATCGGGCTCCACATCGAGTCGCATCGCGGATGCATCGGCGATGCGACGCGACCCTCCGGCCCCATCTGCTCCGACCCCATCTGGGAGGCCTGGGCCCGTACAAGCTTGAGCGTCGGCCGAGGAGCTTGGCATATGGACGCCCCAGCTTCCCAGCCTGCCGGGCGCTGGAGCTCAACTCCTTGGCTACTTGTCTGACCAAACAGCTTGGCTGCAGGAAGGAAGGGAAGGAGGGAGGGAAGGAAGGCGGAGGAGGGGGAGGACGAGAAGGAGGAGGAGGAGGAGGAGGAGGAGGAGGTGGACCAGGAGGACGAGGAGGAGGAGGAGGGCAGCATGGCCACAAGACCGTGGCTCAAGAACATGAACTACTTCCCCGAGGGGCAAAGGCCTCATGGAGATCCCTCCAACGAACACGGTCCAGGGCGGAAAGCCCAAACATGAAGAAGCTTAAACATGTTGCTTTCAGAACTCCGCGCGGATTTCTTTGATCGGCGCCAGACACCCCTCCCTGGCGCGCGGAGCGCGCTATGGGAGGCGCCAGAGGCGCCGCTAGGGTGGCCCAAGCGCCGATCCAAGAAATCCGCGCGGAGCTCTGGAAGCTCATGGGCGTGCTTTGATTTCTTCCCCGGACGAAGGACACAAGGGTGCCCGCTCTCAGCCCGCGCGCCAGCTGTACACCCAGCCCCTCGGGTGGGTGGGGGTGTGTGACCTACATGGGGAGTGCAGAAACTGGCCACGAAGGGGCCCTGTAGGGCCCCTTTGGGGGGCCCTGGCTGGCTGTACAACTGGCGCGAGGGCTGAGAGCGTGCAAGCTTAGGTCCTGCGCTCGGATGAAAAATACAAGATACACACATAGAAACTTTCGGAGCTCCGCGCAGATTTCTATGATCGCCGCCTGGGCCACCCTGGCGGCGCCTCCAGCGAGCGCCCATGGCGCGCTCCAGCACTTCGCGGGCGAAGAGCAATATATAATCAACTTTCCCGCAGATCGGGGACGCCTGCCCCCCTTCGCACCCTAGATTTCACTGCACCGACCTTGCAGACGTGCTGCAACGGGTTTTTGCGTGGATTTCTGCCGAAGCAGGACCCCGAAACGGCGAGCGACAAGTGAAGCGAATTGCGCGTGGATTTTGGGGGAGTCTTCCATCCTGGCAAAACAAGATCAGCACGAAATTCACTTCGAACTCCGGAGCGACATTCTCCAGGACCATCCGGGCCCATCCCAGGTGTTTTCCGAACGACATCCGCTCTGCAGTGTGGGCGCCGTGATGAATCACACCCTGGGCCCCGTCGCCAGGGACGCCTGCCCCCAAGGCAGCCGGAAAGTCTAACTCTAACCCTCCGTGGCGCCCTTAGGGGCGCAAACTGTGCCGCCGCCCGCGTCCTCCTCCTCTTCGCCCTGGCCCTGCGGCCATTCGGCGCGGAGCTCGGAGGGAGAAGCTCGGAGGGGGGAGGAAGGAGGAAGGACAGGGTGGAGAGAGGAGGAGGAGGAGGAGGAGGCGGAGGCGGAGGAGGAGGAGGAGGAGGAGGAGGACGGCGGAGAAGCTTGCTTCGGACCCTTCTTCGTCGCACCCGGAACTGCCCCCCGCCCGCGCCCCTCCGACCGACCCGCCGACATCCTCGGCCCCGTCGTCCGCCCGCGCGGGCCCGCCGAGGCTCACGAGCGCCGCCGCCGCGCCGAGGGCGCCGCCCGCCGCCGCCGCTCCGCGGGCACCCCCTGGTGGAAACCAGCGGGTTCGGGAGACTCGGCAGGAGGGGATCCCCCCCATGGGATCCCCTCCTGCCCCCCCAATGGGATCCCCAGGGGATCCTATGGGACCCCCCCCCTGGGATCCTATCCCCCCATGGGATCCCCCCCCATGAAGAGTCTCCCGGCGGGTGCCGACGTCGCTGCCGGTAAGTCGGGCGTGTCCCGCTACAGGAGGAAGACTCAAAATAGTGAAATCAACAGGAAAGCCTGGGGACGATTTCTCGATGCTTGTTTTGCTATCATTGCGCCTGCTCTTGGTATGCATCAATGATCGTCCAAATCCGCCTGTAGGGAGCATGCCCGACCTAACGCTTCTGGGTGGCGATCTCCGAGCCCTAAGCTCGGCGGGGAGCGAGGGGAGGCAGTGAGAAGGCGAAAGCCCTCTCAGAAGGCGGCGGGGTTTCCCAGAAGCCCTCCAGCCTTCCGAGAGGTTTTCTGTCTTCGGGGAAGGCTCCCGCACCTTCTCAGGAGGCCGGGGGACTTCCGAGCCTTCTGAAAAGGTCCGTCCTTTCTCACTTCTCCACCTGGGCTCGCCGCCGACATGACGAATTCCGAATCTTGCCCCCGCCATCCATCGAGTTGCCTGAACCGTGGATCGGCGAGAATGGGGCTCGGATTCGGCCGCCGAGATATCGCAGCTCCCCGGACCGCTCCCAGGGGTCGATGCGAATCAAGCCGTGGCGACAAAGACCTTCTAGGTGGCCACGAAGGCGACATCTGCAGCGGTAGCCATCGGCGCCCTTTCTTACCTCCCAGGCAAGGAGGCCCAGGAGGCCCAACAGGCCCACGAGGCCCAATAGACAGAATGGGCCTCCCAAGAGGCTTAGGAGGCCCCAAACGAGGCAGGGGTCGCGGCTTCGGTACCTTGCCCTCCTCTGACCCCGCTTGGGGTCGGGGACGCATTGACCCAGGTCAATACAAACCCGGGGTCCATCGGGCTTTGCAGGACCCTGCAGGATCCTCCACGCCAGCCCGGGTCACTCAACCCCTGGCCCTGCAGGATTCTAGCAGATCCGGCGCTCTGGCTGACCCCCGTTTGCCGGGGGCGCGCAAACACGGATTAGCGATCCATGGATTTGGCGCGCGGTCGCCACATCCATGGATCGGGGGAGGTGCCCTCCCCAGCATGCGGCCGGTGCCGCCTCGTCCGGGGGCGGAAATCCGCGATGATTACAATGGAAACGGGATCCGTCGCTGGTCCACGCCCCATTGATCCATGTTTGCGATCGCCTGAGTTTGCATTGACCCCCGTCTTTTGAGCAGGGACCGACCGTCCTGGCACTCCTATCGGCCTACCACGACATGCTCTTAGAACTCAACAATGCTCTAATAACAAAAACAATGTTCTTTGAATATGCATCCGACGTGTTCAAACAGGACAGTCTCGGCCAGAAATGCTTTTAAAATATTTCGCACCGACCACAAAGGGTTCTTAGAGCATTGTTTGGTGGGCCTGCAGGCGAGCCAGGACGCTTCGCCACTGCTTGATCTTGAGCCCCGAGGCCCCGGTAAGGGCCCCCCGGAGGCCGAACATCAGGAAAAACCTCCCGTCATGTTTTTCTCATTGCCCGAGAGGGTCTGGGCCTCTGGAGCCCCGACCCCCGCCCGCGGGCGCCCGCACGCCCGCCGGCGGCCCGGCAGCGGCGCAGCGGGCCCGCGCGTGGGCGGGCCAGCGGGGGCGGGCGGCCCTGCGGGCGGCCTGGCCGCCTGCGCGGGAGGGCGCCGGCCGTGCTCTTCCTCCTCCTGCCGCTCTTCCTGCTCCTGCAGCTCCTCCTCCTCCTCCTCCTCCTCCTCCTCCTCCTCCTCCTCCTCCACCTCCTCCTCCTCCTCCCTCCCCTCCTCCCTCCTCCTCCTCCTCCTCCTCCTCCTCCTCCTCCTCCCCCCCCTCCTCCTCCTCCTCCCCGTCCCCCTGCTCCTCCTCCTCATGCAACGCCTCCTCCCGGAAGCTGGAGGCTGGTGGCAAGTGTGTCACCCTGACGCTGCACCCCCCCCCCCCGGGGGCCGTTGCCCCTTTGTGGGGGGTGATCAAACTAATAGCTGTAGGGCGCGACCGGCAGACCCCCTCAGGGGCGGACTGACTATGCCCCCCTGCGCCCTGAGAGGAAGAGGGGAGAATTGAAATAACCAAGGGAGGGAAGGAACTTCAACCACAACCTTTAGGGTGTGAATGGTTAAGAGCATTTCTTCTTCCACCCCCCCTTCTTTCCCTTCGGGGGAGGGCTTACCCCTCACCCTATCCGCTATCCCTGGGTTTGGAGGGGGGGGGTCGCGAGAGGACTCCAAGAAACTCTCGAAATAAATCCGAAGAGACTCCGAGAATCATTCAAGAGAAATCTGGCCTTTCCGCTCGCCCTGCTGCTGCTCCTCCTCCTCCTCCTCCTCCTGCTCCTCCTCCGATTCCGCCTCCATCCTCCCATGTTGGGGTGCGACGACGTACCTAGCCATGCATTCCACTGCATTATCCTCCAAATCCTTGATCGGGGCAACTCGTCTGGACATCGTTCTGGATGGGCTGGCGAGGTTACGCGATGCGCCTAGAAGAGGGATGGTGGCTGAGGCTGTTGGCAAGGGCGGCGTTGAAAGCGAGGCGTTGCAAAGTGCTGACGCGTGCGCCCGCATGTTGTCGGTCCCCCCCCCCCGGCCCGGTATTACGCCCTACCCTCCCCATAAATATGGTGGCGGCCTGCGTAACTGAGACTGTGGCGGGCGGTGAGCAGCCTACACACTGGCGGCGCAGCGAGGATGCAACTCTGAAGGTATGCGCGAGTGGCCGCAGGCAGCTGGCTGCACAATGCACGGCGGTTGGAGGGCCTTGCTGTTTGCCAAAGGCCCTGGCCAACAGAAGCGCCTTGCGGCACCGCGGTGGTCGTTGCGCTGCGTGGCGTGGGCACCGCTGCTGGCCGCGGCCGCCCTGGCCAACGCCAGGGCGGCCAACGGCGTTGGCATCCCCCACCACCCACTTCTGAGCCACATCGCCCGCCCCCCCTTCCTAAATGGCGGCTCGCGGCCAACGTCGAGACTGCGGCGGGCGGCGCTGTGAGAATATTGACGGCGCCAGGTTCGACTGCAAGGGCAGGCGCAAGTGACTGCAGGCAGTTGAGCGAGCTAGGAAATAAACAAAAGGACAGCTGCTATGAGCGCGCGAACTATGGTGCACGAGTGCCCTTAATTGCCTGAAACGTGGCTCTGTGCCCTGAGCCGCCGTGGTCAAGTCCGTGGCTGCCTGCGGCGGTACTGCCCCTTCCCTTCCCCCCCACCCCCACATAAGCCCACCCAGTCCCCCCACCGCAAGAGTAGGGGGGAGAAGGCTAACGGTGACAGCAGCGGGGGGGGGGCAACTTCCCTTCCCCCCCACCCCCACATAAGCCCACCCAGTCCCCCCACCGCAAGAGTAGGGGGGAGAAGGCTAACGGTGACAGCAGCGGGGGGGGGCAACTAAAGGAAGGTGGAACCACGAGGGAGCGAAGTGTTGTTGGAAATTGGCGAAGAGCCCGCTCAGGGCAAACTGTATAATTGACTTGTCGTGTTGTCGCCTCTGGCACCGACGCACTGCGTTGATGAAAAACCCACGGCGGCTCTTTAAGCCTTGTAATGCCGTGGACTGCCGCGCAAATTAGCTTCGAACATGTCATAGCCGCCGTGTACTATCTGTGGGTGTAGTTCCGTTCCGTGCTTTGCCGTAGCGTGAGGCGTTGAGAAGGTCGCCGAGGTCGTGCAGCTGGCGCGGGCGTCGCGTTCCGAAGGTGAAGGAGGGATACCAGCTGCTGCTGCTGCTGCTGTCATGGAAAATGGGTGCGGCAATTTGGTGGAAGGGTAGGCGCAGAGGTCAGGCGTAGGGACGGAGACAGCTGGCGTATGGCTGTGGAGCAGTTTGGGGAAGTGGTATGTACTGGTCGCTTGAAAGCAAACTAAGTGGGATATGGGATATGACACACTGACTGGCCCCCTTGTGAGGCAGGTTCTGTCTGGACATGAGGGTGGCGTTCGCCTCTTAGCCCGGGGTAGCGGGAGTAGGTGATGCGGGTGCTCCTCTGCTGAGGCTGGCCCGTGCCACAAACCAGCGTTTCTGCACTGCGGTAGGCGTCGGAATTAACGCCAATCACACTGCAAGTGGGATCGCGTTGGGTTTGCCCGCTTCTGTAACGGCTCCATGTAGCTCGTTCGGCCATGGTCGCGTGGTGAGCTGGTAGAATGGTTGATGCCGCTGCTGTTACACAAATATTCTACTCATAGCCTGGGCAGAGCTCTTCTACTTGCCGTCGTTGTCGGCATTGGTGTCCGATCTCAGGATGGGGTGGCGCGTGTCAAAGATGTACTCGGGCACGCTGGTGTTGCTGGCACTGTCGGTGATCATGGTCGGCCTGGGTGGTTCCATTCCATGTCGTCAGCAGTCCGTAGATCTGCAAGGTAAGGATTGCCGATGGTCCTGGGCTGCGCTGTGGGTTGCCGTGATGTACAATAGTGGCTATCGTATGCTCTGGGAGCGCATGCGTGCGTCGACCGATCGTGCCAGTTCTATGCTGTATGGTGATGGTGAGACGTTTCCACTTACCTGCTTGCCTGAAGCTGATGGATCATGGACTGGGTCGTAGTTGGTGGTGGTGAGACCCTGCTAGTCGCAGTGTGGGGCCTGCTGTCAGTGGCTCATGGGGCGTGGGGCGTTTGTCGGCGTGGTTGTGGGGGCCATCTCGTCGTGGTGGTCGCGTCTGGGGTCTGGTGGTGGGTCGTCTGGGTGTCTCCTGTTGTAATAGTCGAGGGAATGGGGCTGTTGTGCCTGGTTGGAGTAATGGAGCAGGACGCTCGTGTGCTTAGTCATGTCGTCTACAACAACTGGAAAATCGTGGTCGTGAATGGGTTGGAAAATCCGTGAGGGTTATAACGCAAGCAGACCTTGATGTAACCCATGATCTCGTAGTATTCCCTGTGGGCGTTGGCGTACGCGATGTTGACGTCTTGGCAACGAGTGCTGGTTGGGTATCCCATGAGTCTGCTCATCATGTCAATGACGCAGTTCCTGAGTGCCTTCTGGATCTGCGTGGTGCGAAAGGGTGGTGGCATGACATCGGGCAGTGTGCCATGGCCGCGTGTCGATGACTCGTTGAGGCATGTCATTACTTGGTCGTGTTCGTAACTATCATGCCTGTACCTGTCCCGTCTGTACCTGTCCCGATCAGTTTAGGCATGCACTTGACGATCATGTGGGCGTGGATATTTGTTAAAGGGCCGAATCAAGATGCTGCTAATCATACCGACCAATCACCAATCAACTGATGGCGTCGTGCTGCATGTCCAATGCTGTAATGCTGCTCCGTGCTCCGATAGATGTCATATCCGCTACTGCTTGCGCTGCTTCGTATACACTAGTCATGCCGCCGCCGTTGGCTGGTCTGGGGGCCTTCTTGGGAGATGGGAAATTCAGGGGGATGTGGGAATTGTCGTTCTTCCGGTCGGCTGGTGGCATCGGCAGCTGCGCGTCCCGCGTGGGTAGAGTCGGCTTCGGCAACCTCCTCCTACAACTCCTCGCCTCCTCCTCCCCGTCCTCCTCCTCCTGCGTCATGAGGAGGTAACCCCGACTCTCCCAGCTGCCAGAGTGCAGAATTGCCCAGGGAGCCCCCGCCGAAGCAGCCTCGGTTGCAGCGAGATGCTGTGCCGAGCGCCGTAGGCTGCGGGGGGAGAGAACGGTAAGAGTTCCATCCTTGCAGGCCTCCATAACTTCCCTGTGGCCGCAATTGCTTGACATGAGCTGTACTTAGCCCCCAACGGCTCCACCACCACCACCACCACCTCTCTACATCCTGCTCCTCCCCTCCTCCTCGTCCTCCTCGTCCTCCTCGTCCTCCTCCTCCTTCTCCTGCTCGAGGGTCGAGGGCTTTGGGGGCTCCCATCCCTACTTTGGCCTCCGAAAGACTGCCGGGGCTGCGCGAGCTGCCTCCGTGGGTGGGCCAGAGGGCCTACTGTTAGGTCGGGCATGTCCCCCTATAGGCGGAGTTTGGGCGGCAAATAGAACATAGCCAAAACAAACTCAAACATATAGTCAACAAATAATGGACAAAAATCGTCCCCAGACTATTGTTGACTATTGTGATTACTCCTCATGTAGAGGGACAGGCCCGACTTGAGGATACTGCATGCTCAGACAGGGGCCCCGAGGCGAGCTTGAATCCTCTTCTGTCCCTTGCGGAGTCCGTGGGGGCAGCCAGCGGACTCTGAAAGGGGGGGGGGATTTGGACTCGCCTTAGGTCGGGCCTGTCCCCCTGCAGGGGGATTTTGGGCGAAAAATGAAAAATAGCCAAACCATACACCAAAAATACTCAAAACTGGTTAAACCAAAAAATTGCCCCCATATTATGGTTTGACTGTTTTTGAATGTTCCTCATGCAGAGGGACAGGCCCGACTTAAGACTCGCATTGCCTGGGCCTCTTGGAGCCATCTTGGAGCCGTCTCGGAGCCTCGGCCTTGCTGGTGAGCAGCGTCTAACCGTCCCTGCCCCCACTGGTGTGGCCTGGGCCCACTTGCCGATTTACCCCCCTAGATGGGGATACGGCAGGTTCGCGTCGTGTCGATCCTGACGTTGGTTCCTGACACCGCGGGGATCGTTCAACCTTGAACGATCGGGCGTTTCCTGAACGTCCAAATCGTTCCGCATCGAACGATTCTGGGTCGCCCGCGGCGTTCAACGTTGAACGCCGCTGGCGGGGTCGCCGCCAGTCGACGCGACGCGAACCTACCGTACAGGCTGTGCCCCTTGGGTTTTGAGGGGTGTATCCCCAGTGGGGGTGGTGGGATGATGGGGTCGAGATGGGGACGGGCATGGGGATGGGGATCGGTTAAACGATACTGAGCTGAGACCATCTTGGAGCCATCTGGAGGCCTCAGGGGGCATTGGACGACCACGGCGTTTGGACTCGCCTCGGGGCCGTCTCCTGCCGCCCCGCCCGGGGGCGCCCGCTGAGCACTTCGGGCGGGGCGCTGGCCCTGCGCCGTGCCGGGCCCAGGCAGGTTTGACCAGCCTGGGACTTTTCCCTATCCCAGAGATGGGCGAGCAAGAAGCGAGGACCATCTTAGGGATGTGGCCTCGGAAACCGAGGGCATCCACAAGATCGGCATCGAGAGGTGAGGTGATGCCAAACACAGGGATATGGATATGGTTCAATCTGGTACAGGTTGGTCGGCGGCGCGCCCAGAGGGGAAGTGAGACAGGGCGGGCCTTCTCACAAGGCTCGGGAGGCCCCGGGTCTTCTGAGAGGTTGCCTGAGCCTTCCCCGAAGGCACAGAACACCTCGCGGAAGGCCTCCTCCGCCTCACTTCCCCCCCTCCCTCGCCGCCGAAACTGGCGATTCGCGTCGGCCGCAGGACCCTCAGATCCGGGCGCCTCGAAACAAGACCGCGGCGGTAGATCTGGAATGTTTTCGGCCCCTGGGGTTAGGTCGGGCCTGTCCCCCTACAGGCGAATGTTGGACGACAAATTGAAAAATACTCACACAATATTCAAACATTAGGCAACAAAAAGCTCAAGCATCGATACTCCAAAATGGTCAAAAAATCATGGAAAAATCGTCCCCAGACTATTTTTTTACAATGTTTGAATACCCCCCCTGTAGAGGGACAGGCCCGACTTATTGCTGGGGGACGCTTCCCGGCCCCCAGGGCCGTAGACAGACGCAGCTCGGGTGGCATCAAACAGCGCCCCTGGAAGGGGAGGCGAGATCCCTGGGGGCCCCCGGCGTAAAGCGTGTGCGACGTCGGACGAGAGGGGACGCAGGCATGGCTCGCCGTCGCTCGGACGTCCATTCCGTTTGCATGTCTCGGCTTCGTGCGCGTGTTTTCCATGGCCCGATGGTCGAGGCTGCTCCTCGAAGGTCCACGCGGAAAAAAAGAAAAAAACACGTCCGAGCGATGCCAACCTGGGGGCCCAGGGCGCGAGATACGCGCGACGTCGGAAGAGGAGACGACGCAAGCAAATGAAGTAATCTGGGAGGCGCTCAGGCGGAATTGCTGCGGCCCGCCCGCGGAAGAAGAGGGAAAGATGTCGCTCGACGAGTAAAGTAAGAAGGCGCTTGAGATAGGGAGGTACGTAGCACCCCGGAATTGCGGGTAAGAGTGAGGGGACGGGCGGGTGCGTCGCGGTGCGGGTCGCGCAAAAATCTCGGGCGGGTCGCGGGTGGGTCGCCGGGGGGACGACGACAATAACAAAACGAGGCAACGCAACAACAAGAACCCGCACAGCGGAATCACACTTCAGTCACGCACCCAAGGACAATGAATGACCGTTCGGCCCCCTAACTCCTGTCAAATTTCCTGGGCTCCAAAGCCACGTAGACAAAGGTTTCGGTAACATGGGGGCACAGAAGACACTGCCGCCGTGGGTGGAAACACACTCCACTCCCTGGACGCGGGATTTGCAAAGTCCTGGTTTGCAATATATTAGTTTCAGAAGCCCTTAAAATTTCGGGCATCTCGAACACATCGAGGTTTGCCACTATGTTGTGTATCTTGGAACAAGTTTGGGGATCGAGTACGGTCAAAAGCTCGGGTTGAAAAATGAAGTGGTCGAGAGGTCCGGGAGTCCGCACATCGAACACATCGAAGCGCCGGATGTCTAGGGTCGGCAGCTGGTTTCTCGCACCAGCTCATCTTGAGCTCTTGTTCGAAAACCCAATGGGGTGCCTGCGCAATCATACAACATCAGGACTGGTCAGGATCGCTGCCATGGAGTAAGATGGTCCAGGGGGAAATGAGTCCTGGACCCTGGGGATTGTCACGATACCAATTGTTTTCCCTGAGTCATGTTTTGAAGGTCTTGGCGCCTGTCTAGGCCCTGGGACCGAAAATTGTCAGCGACTTCTGGGACTCTTCAACCCCAATGCCCGTTTACTTCAAGCTAGAATCGGTTTGCCCAAGGCCCGCGGAAGTCCCGAACCCTTCCAAGAAATAATGGCTTAAATCCAAAACCTTTCTTTGACTTTCGAAGGCTCAGTGGGACATGTACACGGCAGGGTAATGTTTGACCGTTTTCGAAAACTGCCTCTTGATTGTGGAAAAAAAAAACGAAAAAACACCTCATCGACACATTAAACAACTGTTCACCGAAACGGCCTGGGCAACCCGGGGATCCGAAGGACGTTCGGAACTGGTTTGAAAACGATTCAGATCCCGTAAATAAGGTGATCTGAACCCCCCCGAGGGAGCAACAACGGCACCAGAAACGTCAACAAAAATGGCGCTGTAGACGGTAAACAACTGAACAGCGAAAGTGGCAAAAACGGCCCTGTCGCGTCCAAAGGCTTAGCCGCTAAGGTCGAGAGGACGGCAAACGGCCTCGAGAGGCCGAAAACAATGAGCAAAACGCCGTGCCGATTTTTCGCGACGCCCGGACCGAATGGATGACACACATCCTGGGCCCAGGATCGGCATTCCCAAGGTCAGTGCTGGAGGATACGCAGACATCCGATGCTTCGATCTCCCCGAAGCGATTGCCCTGGAAGTCCCGAGGGCCGGCTGCTCGTCCCGAGTCGCTCTTCGATGGCCCATGAGCCCGAAACTGGCCTCCCGAGGCCTAGTTACAAACCACGAGACAACACCGCCATGGTCTCCTCAACGACCAACGGACAACACGGACCTAGGACAGAGCATCCTTCAAAAACACGTGACCCTCCGTCGGCCAAAACACACAGAACATCCAAGGGTTCCCTCCCCAGGATGCACAAGAGCATCCAACAACCGTGAAGAACATTAGGGTACACGTCGGTCGGAAGAAGTAGGTAGACACATGAAGTAGGAAGGCGGATATAGTAGATTGGGTCCAGGTCCTCCCAGAAAATAACAAAAAACAGCAAAGCGTGCCGATTCTTGAAGTAGGAAGGCGCTTGAAACAGATTGGGATCTGGGCATCCAAAAATACCTACTTTCAACGACCGGCATGTACCCTCGCCGAACCGACCTCGATCTCATACCTCGGTCCGGCTGTACGCTCAGGGGGGGGGCGGCGGGGGCCACGGGTACGTGTTGTCGGATGGGGGTGCCCGGTGCCCTCTCGAACGGGAGCCCCCCCAATGGGGTCCGACAGCCTGCACCAATACACACAGCCAGCCCTCCACCCTCCGAACCCCCTGTGGGCATGTATAGGGGGCCACATTCGAATCCTACCCCTACCCCCCACGATTTCTGAGGGCCACATTCGAACCCTAACCCTACCCCCGTCCTCCCCCTCGGAAATCGTGGGGGGTAGGGGTAGGGTTCGCATGTGGCACCCTAATGTATGGGTGTGTGTGTATCCTCCTCGCCATCCACGCCTGGCTGTTTATGGCTGCCGACGGCTGCTGGGCCGTAAGTGGTCTTTGAGTGCTCGGGCGGGCGTAATTAGACGCCCGCGCTTCGCTCTTTTCCGACCTTCTACGCCCTGTCACCGCGCGCAAGGCCGCGACGCCCAACAAAAAGCGCGTGTGTGTGTATGTGTGTGCGTGTGTGTGTGTGTGTGTGTGTGTGAGTGTGAGTGTGAGTGTGAGTGTGAGTGTAAGTGTGTGAGTGTGAGTGTGAGTGTGAGTGTGAGTGGGTGAGTGCGTGCGTGCGCGTGTGCGTGTGCGTGTGCGTGTGCGTGTACACGTGTGCGTGTGCGTGTATGTGTGTGTGCGTGTGTGTGTGTATGTGTGTGTGTGTCCACGCGCATCCTGCTTTTGGTTTTCAACGCCCTGTCGCTGCGCGCCCGGCCGCGAAGCACATCAAGTGTGCGTGCGTGCTCGTGTGAGTGCGTGCGTGCGTGTGTGCGTGCGTGCGTGGGTGTGCGCGTGTGCGCGGGTGGGTGGGTGGTGGGTGGGGGGTGGGTGGGCGTGCGTGCGTGCGTGCGTGCGTGCGTGTGCGTGCGTGCGTGGTGTGCGTGTGTGCGCGGGTGGGTGGTGGTGGGTGGGTGGGTGGTGCGTGCGTGCGTGCGTGCGTGCGTGCGTGTGTGCGTGCGTGCGTGGGTGTGCGTGTGTGCGCGGGTGGGTGGGTGGGGTGGGTGGGTGTGCGTGCGTGCGTGCGTGCGTGCTGTGTGCGTGCGTGTGTGCGTGCGTGCGTGGGTGTGCGTGTGTGCGCGGGTGGGTGGGTGGGTGGGTGTGTTGGCGTGGTGTGTTTGGTGTGTGTGTTTGTGTGTGTGTTTGTGTTGTTGTGTGTGTGTTTTGTGTGAGTGTGTGTGTGTGTGCGTGCGTGCGTGCGTGCGCGTGCGTGCGCGCGTGTGTGGTGTGTGTGTGTGTGTGTGTGTGTGTGTGTGTGTGTGTGTGTGTGTGTGTGTGTGTGTGTGTGTGTGTGTGTGTGTGTGTGTGTGTGTGTGTGTGTGTGTGTGTGTGTGTGTGTGTGTGTGGGGGGGGTCTGTGTGTGGGTGAGTGCGTGCGTGTGTGCGTGCGTGCGCGCGTGCGTGCAAGCGGGGGTGCGAGCGTGGGTGCGTGGGTGCGTGAGTGCGTGGGTGCGGGGGTGCGTGGGTGCGGGGGTGCGGGTGTGTGTGTGTGTGTGTGTTCGTGTGGGTGTGTGGGTGTTCGTGTGTGTGTGTGTTGCGTTGTGTTGCGTTGTGTTGCGTTGTGCTGTGTTGTGTGCGCGCGTGCGTGTGCGCGTGCGTGTGCGCGTGCGTGTACGCGTGCCTGTGTGTACGCGTGTTTTGATCGTTCGTCACCCCAGGCGTTTGACGACTGGGCAACTGGTGGCCCCCGAACGCCTGGCCCTGGGCCGCGCGGGAAGAGCAGCAGCATGGGCGGGGCCGGCAGGTGCCCTCGCGCGGGTACGGTCACTGCGACGCCTGGAGCCTCGAGCTAAAGTGGCCATGGACTCCACTTCTCCTCCCTCTGTACGTTAGGCAAACTTCAAATGCGGTGCTTGTGGCATTCGATGGCAATGACAAACGAAGTCGGCCAAATTAAACAATAGGCCTGAGAAAGACGAGGTGCCCTTTACGGCGCTTAGCAACTAAGCGTGTAGCCAGTGAAGGAATAGTGCTCCCCCTCGACTGTGAAACCCCTCGTCCTCCTCCTCCTCCTCCTCCCCCTCCTCCCCCTCCGTGCCCCTCATCATCTCTCACTCGTCCGCCGTCTCCCCCCTGCCCACGCACGGTCAAGATCGACGCAGACCTTCATCCTTCCTCCTTCCGCCAACCCTTCGCACAAGCTAGCATCTGCATGATGCTTCGCCATGCGGCGAGCCAGGATCGGGCAGAGCCACTTTGCGTCGAGCTCTGCGGGCTACCGCTTGGACCCTCCCCCCCACCCACCCCCGACGTCCCCGGCTGCGATCGCCAGCGCGTGCCCTGGGAAGCTGTTGACAGGAGAGCCCAGGATCGAATCGATAAGTCGGATCGGCGATCGAAAGGAATCGGATCGGCGGAAACCGACAGCCGAGTCGGCGAGATGTCTTCATTTGGGAATCGGAGTCCGAATCGAATCGGAGGAATCGAAACGAGCCCTGTGCTGATGCACACCAAGGTTCCTCAAGGGATGCGTGCTTGGGGCTCCGGCCGGGGCCTCCAGGCGCCTCTGTGGGATGGGCTGTGGCGGGTCGTCCCTCGGGAGCTGGCTCGAGAAGGCGCTCTTCGGCAGCTGACCCGTGGGTCTATATGAGTCCATCTGCTGGGGGGATCTCTCTGGGGTCGCGGCGTGGCCGTCCGTCGTGGGGGCCCCTCCTCCTCCTCCTCCTCCTCCTCCTCCACCTCCTCTTTTTCTTTTTCTTCTTCTTATCAGTATTATCATTATGATTTGTATTATTAGTATTAGGAGCATTGTCATTATTATTAGTATTATTACTATTATTATTATTATCTTTATTATTGTTATTATTATTATTATAATTATTATTATGTTTATTATTATTACTATTAGTATTAGTATCAGTAGCAGTAGTAGTATTAATACTATTAGCATCAGTATTATTACGATTGTTAATGCTATCACTACTACTAATATTAGTATTATTATTCTTATGATTACTATTCGTATCATTATTAGTATGCGTCTTCTTAGTCTTCGTCGTATTCGTCTTCTTAGTCTGCTTATTAGTCTTATTACTATTCGTATTGTTATGCTTCTGCTTCTGCGTATTATTCTTCTTCTGTTTTTTCTTCTTCGTCCTCCTCTTCGTCCTCCTCTTCGTCCTCCTCCTCGTCCTCCTCCTCCTCCCTCGTCCTCCTCCTCCTCCTCTTCTTCCTCCTCCGCCTCCGCCTCCGCCTCCGCCTCCCCCTCCGCCTCCGCCTCCGCCTCCGCCTCCGCCTCCGCCTCCTTCTCCTCCTCCTTCTCCTCCCCCTCCTCTTCTTCCTCCACTCCTCCTCCTCCTTCTCCTCTTCCCTCTCCTCCTCACTCCCTCCTCCTCCTCTCCCCCTCCTCCTCCTCCTCCTCCTCCTCCTCCTCCTCCTCCTCCTCCTCCTCCTCCTCCTCCTCCTCCTCCCCTCCTCCTCCTCCCCTCCCTCGTCGTGCAGCGGAGGCCAGGGCTGGGCCAGGCTGGGGCCCCTCGGCGCCCAGCAGTCCTGCTCAAGATGGGACGTACAGAGACATACCATTACAATATATATATGTATATACACACAAGGCTGCGGTGGCGCTTCGCGCGCGCCATGCACCTTGGACCTTGAAGTTCGGTATGCAGGCGGAATAGCAAGAAGGTCACGCCGACAATTTAGCGATAACTCCTTGTTGCCTTTTCCGGCATCGCCGCGCTACAATAGTGTTTTCCGTGATCCTTCCTCCATGTTTCTTGTTCATCCTTTTCGCACACCCTGCGCATGCTCCCCATCCTCCTCAACTCTTTTTTGCGGAGGCTCCTCCTTGGAGAGCATCTGGGGGCCTCACGAAAGTTGTTTCAGGCTTTCTTCAGGCCCTCTAGAGGCCTCCTGGTCGTATTCTGGGGGCCTCTGGGGGCTTCCTCGGGCCAACCTGCCTCCAACCGCGGTCTCCTTGAACGACCGGGTCACGATGTGGAATGGGCCGCCGTGGGGATCTCTGAGGGCCATCTTGGACCCGTGTTGTGCCGTTTTGGGGCTCTCTTGGACTGCCTGGAAGCCCTTTCGGATGGTTGTGGGGCGATTTGGAGCCTCCCAGGCAGCTTCGGACACCCAGAAGACCGCCGTCTTGGAGCGTCGGGAAGCCGAAAAAAGAGAACCCCCCCATTCACCAAAAACCAACGGAAAATCAATGATTGTTGCCTCTTGGTGCCTTTTTGGGAGGTGCTCTTGGAGGCCTATTTGGGGCCATCCTGGAGGCCTCTTGGGCCATCTTGAGGTCACGTCGGTCGCTCTTGGAACGTTCTTGTGCTGTCTTGGGGGTCTCTGGGACGTCTCCGATGACCCCCCTGATCGCCCTAGGTGTGCTGGGAAGGCTTGGCAAAACGCCCTGCGAGACCCGGGAGGCCGCTTCGAGGCCAGTCTGGAGGGTCCCAAAGCCCCATATCCCGGGAGTCTGTTTTTTTTGGGGGGGGACGGGTTTTCCCCCCGCCTGGGCTCATAAAGTACAGAAAGAAGAATATATCTATACAAGTGGCACGTGTGTGCCCAGGCTCATACAAAAAAACTGAAGGGGCGTTTGAAGCAGGAGTGAAATGCAACATCGAAGTCGCACTCGAGCGCATGTGGGGTTGCCACACCTTGCGATGTGTGTACCAGGGCCCCCAGGAAGCCTTAGGAGGCCCGACTTGGATACCAGAAGAGGCTCCAGGAGGCCCCAGGATTGTGAGTGTTGTGCGTGTGTGTGTGTGTGTGTGTTTGTGATGTATGCTTCGTGTGGTGCGTGCTTCTTGTGTGTTGTAGGTGTTGTGTGTGTGTGTGTGTGTGTGTGTGTGTTTGTGTGTGTGTTATGTTTGTCTAGCGTGTGATGTGTTGGGCGTGATTTGTGTCTCTGTGTGCATGTAGTTCTGAAGCCCCACGAGGCCCCAGGAGGCCCCAGGCGGCCTCAGGAGGCCCCAGGAGACCCCAGGAGGCTTCAGGAGACCCCAAGAGGCTCCAGGAGGCCGCAAGAGGCCCCAGGAGGCCCCAGGAGGTTTCAGGACACCCCCACGAGGCTCCGAGGCGGGGTCTGGGGTGCCAGAAGGTTCAGAAGGCCCAGGAGGCCCCAGGAGGTTCCAGGAGGCCCCCAGGAGGCTCCGAGGCGGGGTCTGGGGCTCGATGTTGGAAGGATTTTTCAAGCGAAACCGCCATTCACTGAGAATCGGGGTCACAATTATTGAAATTACCATGTGTTTTTGAAGGTTTTATGTTGAAATGTTGAATTTCCCGTGTGGTTTTGGACCCTGACGTCGCGATCTGCGTGAGGGGCGCCACCGATTTTCAGAAGTTCGAGGATGTCCCGGGCGAAACGCCCAGAAAAATCGCGGACGCGTGCGCATTAATCGCCTCTGAGCTCTACTCCATCGGAGAGGTGCGTATGATAATATATATATATATACATATATATTCTCCGGCGCACACGAGCGATCCACCGGCGCACAACGGGCGGAAGTCGTGACTGCGCTCCTGGGCTCCAACAGAAGTCCGCCAGGGAAAATGGAACTGAAGATGGGATCTGACAGGATGGGGAGGAGCAGCAACACGAGTGGAAACATACAGGGAGAAGAAGCAAAAAATTGAGCAGCGGCGCGGTCTTACCGAGACCGTCGGCGATTACGTGGTCAGACGCCGCAGTCGCAGCCGAGGCCCCAGCGGGCTCGGAGTGGTTCGAAAAGACATGGAGAAGAGGGTGGGAGGGAGGGTGGGAGAAGAGGGTGGGAGGGAGACATTCGATATATATATATATATATATATA